GGGGGGGGGGGGGGGGGGGGGGGGGGGGGGAGGGTGTGTTTTTTTGGGGGGGGGGGCTACATTGGAGGGCTGGCCCTGTCACTCTCAGTGCCCCACCATGGTGGCGACACCAGGCAAAGCTAAACCATCTATTGCATTCCGCCCAACCCCCATTTTATCAAACCCCCCCTCCCCCCAAACCCTAATAAGGTCCCCCTTCCGGTCTCCCACCCTCAGTCGTCACGGATCTGTTTATCCTCCGCTAGGGCTGGCGGCTTGAGGCTCACAGCCACCAGCGGCAGCGGGATCTTCCAACGCATAGTGCTTAAAGAACCATTCACAACACTGACAAAAGAATACTAAAGTCAAGCCATTGCCATTTCAGCCGTTCAGTGAGCATGTGACATCTGCGGTACTGTATGTCTCTTAAATATTTGCCTAAAAATGCTTAAAATGATTGGTAGCCATGGAGGAAATGATGGACCTGCGATTGCGTCAGTCAGAATCATACACAGAGGAGAGCATAAAATCAAAGTAGAAAATACATGCATTTTCTCTTCCACATAGTGATGTCAGCAGCGTCAGATGACCAACCAAACACAAGGTCAATATATTAAAACCCATTTCCTTCATCCGAACTACAAAAATCTGTCCTCCCATCCATTAAACTACACAACCACTGAGTCAGATTTTACTAAATATATAGAGCAGCACAAGGTTTAAACGTAACAGAGTGAATAAGCTGTAAATTGTGGGAGCCTTGCTAGGCCCGGTTTGCCATGTATGTTCTTAATAAAGGCCCGTTATTCAGAGAGGCTCTCTGTATCATTATTGAAATTCAGTGGAGCATGAAGAATCCCCCCAAGCTCATAAGGAGGGAACATGCTGCACTCAGCAGAACTCCCAAAAAGAGGAACAAGCACAGGAATACCCACAATGCCCTGCAAAACCCACTACAAGACACAATGAGACCCTAGTCGTATAGTCTGTGTTACGAGGTTACCGGTAGTTATACAGCTAGGAATGGTAGTCTTACAAGATGAGACAGCGAACGTTTCTGTCTGTTAATCTGTCCAGACTTACAGAACAGGATAGTACAGTCTGTTTATGAAGATGTCATATTATTAGTCATATTCATAGCTGGAGAGAGAGTAGAGTCTGGTTAAAAAATGTCTGTGGAATTTGACTGTGACATAGTAGCCAAGTCTGGTTACAATGCTTCTGTAGTCTTACAGTAAGTGAGAGATGAATCTGTTTATGAAATGTCTGCAATCGTAGCATACATGATAACTGTGGTCATTAGTGCACATGCAGTTTTACAGTGGGAGCTAGCTAAGTTGGATTATTTCTATAGTTTTTTGATGGGTATGAAGACGTCTGTAGTTATACTGTAGGGAATAACTGAGGATGGTTATAGAGATGTGTGTAGTCCTTAGAGGCAGGAATAGCATAGTCTGTTTATGAAGATATCTCTAGTAGTACGGTAGGGGATAGCCAGGTCTGATTATAAAGACGTCTCTAGCCGTACAATGGAGTCAGTAGATACTCTCCCAGCGCCTGCCTTCAGAGAATATAAGCTTCAAAGTATATAAGCTCACGGTTATCTCTGCCTGCTCTCCATTGAAGCTGTAGCCCAAGAGCACAATGGCTCCCGGTCTGTGACTCGGCGCGCGTGTGATCCGACACCTGGAGTTTGTGCCGCATGCTCCGCACGGCCGAACGAGCCCCTCCAGCAGCGGGACCTCATGCAACCTGGCCAGAAACAAGCCGGCCCCCGTTTATCCACCGCCGCGATGGCCTGGGGAGATTCCTCCCGGCCACGGAGGCCGGAGAACTAAAAAAATAAAAACGGCAGCCGCGTGTCCGTGCGGCAGGCTTCTGAGCACAGACAGAGGAGATTGACCGATTAGGCTAAGCTGGTCAGGCTATCACAGATCTGAGTTAATCCTTCTCAGCAGCCCTTCTTGTCCTGCTGAGACCCTCCCTGTTGGGCTCCTTTATCTGCCTCGTCCG